TTGAGTTGCAACCAGAGTCACGGAACGGATTAAGTTCGTAACTAGAGGTACCACTGTATTCTCTCCTATACTCTTTCTTGCCCCTCCTCCCATTTACCCCCAAATACCCTTTGGGAAACAACTGGAATTTATTTATATCCTGAATGTCTACTGCATTTACAGTTGATTATATTTCATACAAGCCACTTCAGGAGGATTGTTATCCTGAAAGATTAATTATAAATAATAATAAAGTGTATTAAGGAAAAAGTAAGATTTGTAGCAGCTTTTGAACTTTGATAGATATTTACCATTCATTGGAAAAAAAAGTGATGTTGCTATTTAATATGTTAAATATAACTGAATCTTTCAACATTACATATTCAGTATTTATGAGGCTCATAAAATTTGGGAACCAATGCAGCATAACAAGTAGAAATGTCAATGTGGTGTCAAGAAACCTGGATTCCGATCTCAATGAATAGCCTTTTTCTTTTTCATGTCAGATATGACAAGCTACAATATTCAACATTCTCAGATAGTCTTACCAAACTGGCTGCATCCAAGAAATCTGAAGGGAATTATTTTGAGAAAGGTTGCTATAAGTACTGGCTACCATGTATACCAAAACAATTTTGGTCTTCTAAAGCACAAGATAATCAAATCAAGCTGGTTGGTTATATCTTAGCCATCCCAGAATACTAACAGGAGAGGACTTAAAATATATCTATAAAAAGGGATCTAAATTAGAACAGGGCAACATTATTTCGGCTGGGAACTTGTTTCTTCTGTCTCTGAGGGCTGCAGGGCTATGGCAGTGATGCCATGACTTCATTGAGGGAACAGGGCAGAATTTCCCATTTTCTCCTCCAAGTTTTGCTTTTTGGAAAGATCAGCCAAATAAGTGTACAATATCTATCAGAGACTTAATATGCCTATTTTACTTACATGGGGAGAAAAGGCAAACATTTGGGCCACTGCAATTAAGTAGACTGCTTAATTTCAGCAACAGGGTCAAGGCTTGGTGCATCATAAAAAGAGTCAAGGAGGCAGGTGTCACCTGCAAGCTGTTATCTTGCCCATCCCTGATGAGATAAAAGAAATCTAGAAACTGAAATTGTAGACAGTAAATTGTTTTTGCTATTCAATTTGACTATTTTTACTAAGGAAAAAATCTGAAAAGTCTCTGAAAAATTCCTTTTATATATATGTTGCTTATTTATTGTTGGCTGGGTTTCTATAGCACATTATGAACCACCAGAAGTCATTTTGGAGTATGGTAGTATAGAAAAACTATAAATAAGCAAACAAATAAAATATGTTTTTCAGTGATAAAAATAGATCTCTGTTATTTCACAGTGATATTAATTAACATTCTTCCTTCTCTGTCTCTTGCCTAACAAATCTATTTAGGTTGTAGAAGAAATGCATGTCAGTGTCCTAACTTCATATGTTCATGTTATGCTTTCTTACCTTACTGTGCTGAGTCTTGGTATAATGGTAAAAAAATACATTGTACTCCTTGAGGCATTCTTCCTTCAATTCATAAACTCCATGGCTTGATACACCGGGCTTTCTTTATGTAAATAAAAAAGTTTATCTTCAAATCATACTGCAATTATTTAACAATTATTTATAATAAAAGAAAATACTATTACTTTCATTAAAAGCAAGAAAAAGAACCCTCAAAAAGTTTGGGTATGTATCAAAAATGAAGAACAGTCCTGTTGACTCAGACCAAAAGTCTACATTTCCAACTATCATTTTCAAAATTATCCAACCAGATGATTATGCAGAGGTGTCTGCTGGATGGTGGTGGTGGTGGAAAAAGGGGAAGCCAATAATGAAATAAGCATTGCAACATTACAAGAGAAACTGCCCCTTTCATATGCACACTGTGATGTCCCATGCTGATACACAGGGGCAGCGTTTGTGTTGCAACACTAGTTTCATCATTCTAACAAATCCTTTAGATTTTGCAGATATCTCTGTGCCTATGGGAAACAACAGCACTCTTTCCTTAATGTATCTGGCAACTGGTACTCAATGCTACGCTACCTCTGATCCTGAAAGTAACATTAATCATCATAACTAGCATTTACTGACAGCCTTATTTTTCATGAGAACATAGTACGTGCCACAGAATATGCCACAGAACACAAAAGCTCCTCCCCAGGCAAGCCAATTCAGATAATACATTTCTTTGACAGAGACAGAGAGAGAGAAATATATATAAAACTACTGTCAAATGCATCAAATGTTTCAGTACAGAGATGAATAAAGACCTACAATAACCTGAGCACAGTTCTGCATGTTTGCTTTTGATGAAGACTGGAAGGCATATGTATCTCAAATGTGCAACACAACTATATTGTTATTACTACTATATAAGATTTTTATCCTGCCTTTTCTGTATATAATTCAAGGTGGCAAACATACCTAATACTCCTTCCTCCTCCTATTTTCCTCACAACAACCACCTTGTAAGGTGGGTTCAGCTAAGAGAGAGTGACTGGCCCAAAGTCACTCAGCCGGTGTTCATACCTAAGGGAGGCCTAGAACTAGAACTCACCATCTCCTGGGTTCTAGGCCAGCCCCTTAACCATGTCACCAATACTTATTCATTTAAAAGGAACAAGCACTTACTTGAATATGGCTACTTTGTGGATTACCTTCTCCAAACCAGTCTCATTGTTTTCCTGTGAAGACATGTACCGTGCAAGACATAAGCAAAATAGGCTGATGAAAAATAGTAAATTAAAAACAAATCAAGAGAGCAGCACATTGAATCATGATCATTTCTGTTGAGATGCAAAACAGATCCTCATCAGGCTTACATATTGTATTTGCTGATGAATCACGTGATAATGTTTTCTGATACTTCTCTCTCTCCACAGTAATCTCCTTCCAGTCCCTACCAAGGAAATAATATAGATGAAATAGGCTGAGAGGGGAGACTGAAATGCAGAGCTTTTGTGTGTACAGGTAATCCTCAGTTAACAATGGCTATTGGGACCAGAATTGCTGTCGCTAAGTGACGTAGTCATAAAGCACAACATCACAGGACTGTGCTGCTTAGCAATGGCAATTCTGGGACTCTCAGTTGCTGTGGTAAAGCAAATCACCGCGGATTGTTAAGTGAGGATGGCACGTGGTCACCATTTGCAACCTCCTGCCAGCTTCCCCACTGACCTTGCTCATCAGAAGCCAACAAAGAAGGTTGCAAATGGCGACCATGTGACGCTGCAATGTTGTAACTGCAAGCTGGTTGCCCAGATCACAATCACATGACCTTGGGGATACTGCAATGGCTGGAACTCCAAGAACCAGTTGTAAGTACCACTCGTTCAGTGCCATTGCAAATTCAAACAGTCACTGAACGAGTGGTCGTTAAGCAAGGGCCATCTGTAGTCTCTGAAAAAATTAAGAAACATAGCCTGAAAGGTGAATTATAGTATCAATCTTCCCTTTCTTGTGGAAGATATGCTGAGTGGAATTAAAAGGAAAAAAAAGCAGCATACGGCAGGATGAGTGGATGTTTTCATTTCAAGCAGAAATACACATGGCAAAAGTCTCCACCTAAGGTTGTTGCTGCAGAGACATATGTATCTAGCCTATAGACCAAACATATTTCTGATTATCTTTCATGATTAAATGGTGGCTTGGCAATTTCAAGTGCAGTGTTGCTTGATAGGGCCACCAAAGTAGCAGGTACACCTGTGGAACATGCTGGGATAAAGAGAATCAAGAGATTCTACTAGATTCACAAGAGAAGAAGAGTACCTAGAGGACCTTGTGTTCCTCATGTTGGAATCTAGATTCAGATTTTCTCCTGAAAGGGGATGGGGGGAGATTCGGATGAGGAATATGAGTGTGTTTCCTTGCCCTGCTGTTTTGCAACTACAGGTAGTCCTCGTTTAGTGACAACTGGGACCGGCAACTCAGTCATTAAACAAAGCAGTTGCTCAGTGAACTTCAGCTTTACAGACCTGCAAAGATCATAACGCAAGGACTGGTCATAAAGTTACTTTTTCACCACCACTGTAACTGCAAACAGTCCCTAAACAAGGTAGTTGCTAAACGAGGACTACCTGTACTAAGTTGAGAAAACTGTATGGTAAGAATATATAAAAAGGAAACAAATCATTCACTGTAAGAAAAAACTATATTATATTTGAAGAAATGTTTCCTGCTTTTTGATGAAAAAGTCTTCTCTGGATACTATTCCATACAGGTAGTCCTCACTTAGTGACCACAATTGGGACCGGCAACTTGTCGCTAAGCGCCATGGTCACTAAGTGAAAAATCAATTCCCATTTGGTCTTTAAGTGAGTTGTGGTTGTTAAGTGAAACATCATGTGACTGTGACATGATTTTACTTCCGTGTTCTCCATTAACTCTGCTTATCGTAAGCTGGTTGGGAAGCATGCAAATGGCGATCACATGACCATGGGATGTTGCCACAGTCGTAAATGCGTGCTGATTGAGAAGCGCCCAGATGGTGATCACATGATCGTGGGATGCTGTGACAGTCATAAATGTGAGGAATGGTCACAAGGCTGGTGTTCTTTTTTACACCGCTGTAACTTCAAACGGTCACTAAACAAGGTACTTGTTAAGTGAGGATTACCTGTACCAGAGAAGACAACTTACATCTACAAATATTCACGCTAACCCATGTATCTGGCAGGGATGCTACTAATGTAGCAATAATCAAATGACACCATAGAGCATGAAAAAAGGAAGTGATAAAGCTTAACTCCCTTGGTTCTAAAAAGAATAATTTTTTTTTGAAATTTTCATCAAGTAAATCATAATCAATGCTTAAAAGTTTACTTTTCTTCATGTAACCTTCATGTTGCAAAGTTTGATGTAAAATAACGTAAGTGGTACACTCCTGTATCTGTAAAACTCTCAGTGAATATGATTTCCTATTGGTGTCCATCTTTGGGAAGAGATTATTTATTATTACTGTTGTTTTTTATCATTCTGATTTATTTCTATTATTGCCTTTATAATTTTAACGTATTATAGCCCACCAGAGCCTTTTGCACAATTAATAAACAAACATGTAAAATGTGAACAGAATACAGACATAAGAGCTGACTGTAATAATCACTAAAGATTTGAGCAGGCATGTTTAAACATTTCTGTCAAAAGAAAAATAAATTACAGGTAATCCTCATTTAACAACCTTAATTGGGACAGGATCACAAGGGCTTGCACAGCACCAACAGCCACTACTTTTGCCTGGGGAACCGCCACTCGCACTGCTGCCCTGCTTCTTCCACTGGCTCTGTCCTGTTGCCTACTCCCTGCCAGCTCCCTTTCTCAAACAAGCCTCTGCTGTACTTGCCGTGTGCGTCCCAGGGCTGTCCCCTTGCCCAGTGCTTGGATCCTGGGCCAGCAGCGGGAGGAAGAAGACGGTGAAGGTCAGTTGGGGGTAGCAGGGGTAGGCAGCAGAGTGCAGGGCAGAGATGGAGGGGAGACAGGCAGGTGTGGGGAGTTGAACTGTATGCTGCAGTCATAAATGCGGGCTACTTGCCAAGTGCCAGAATTTTGATCATGCAACTGTGTGGGTACTACAATGGTTGTAACTTTGAGGAGTGGCCGTAACTACCATTCATTCAGCACTATTGTAATTTAAAATGGTCACTGAATGAATGGTCATTAAGCAAGAACTATCTATAAGAGTATATAAGAAGAGAGGCAAAGAAAAGAGTTACTCACATCTTTAGGCAAAGATTTTGCTATAGCACTATGTGCCATTGGTTCAATGCAGAGTAGATGGATTATTTCTCGCATTGTCACATAATCTTTTGTCACATTACTTACTCCTGGGATATATCGTTCTCCTAATAAGAAAAACAAAACAGAACAAAAAGCCCAAGGAATTACTACAAATACACAAATACACGTACACAGATATTAATATAATGGAGTGTATTCCTATACAGTATATTTAAGGAATCATACTGTAAGACCAAGAGTGTAGTAGAGGAACAGTTCTTTAAAACTAGCATAAAATGCTCCAAGACTTTGAACAAATCATAACAAGTTCTGGAATATAACACAGAGAAGCAGTTTCACTTAGTAGTGCAATGTTAAAAACATTATGCTATTTTTCTTGCAAAAAATCAGTATCAGTAAACTAGTGACAGTTTAATTTCTTTATCTCTGTTCTGTAATAATCTCATGAAAAGCATTTATTTCTCTAATTTCAGGTGAAAGGGAAGGCTGCCTCTTTATATATGTGTGGTTGTCCAAGCTAATTGCGAATACAGTGTTTTACAAGATATACCAATATGCCAGATAGGCTCTTAATTGGAGACAATTAACCATACACTGATAGTGTCAGGCATAATTAGTAATATTGCTAAACTGATGGTCTAAAAGATGACATTCAGCCACAGTACCTGGACAATAGTAATTGCAGTTCATAATTAATCCAGTAAGATTTGTAATAAATGCACCATCTAACACTCTCACATTAAAATAATTTGTTTCAAATACTAAATCCATGTTTTAGTGATGTACAGCTGTTTAATAGGATTATTTTCTTCTATTTTCAACAACATTATTTTTTATATACAGCAAAAAAAAAAAAAAAAATCCAAAGAGGAAAATATCCCCATATTTTCTAAAAGTTGTCATTTCTTACCTACAACATAAATAAGAACTTGAAGCATCTCTTCTATTAATGTGTTACATTGCTTATTGAAATCCTGTAAAATTAAAACAAATCACATTCTTGAAACATGATTGATTTAAATGATATAAAACTATATGTGGATGAATCAGCAAAGAAACTTAAATTTAAATTTCGTGTCATCTAGCTGTGCTGCAAGCTGCAGCAGAAGACCTCGGGGGGGGAACCCAAAAGTGTGTTTTGAATATGAAACAAACACATTATGGATTAATGTTCTGAAGTATTGTTCCATGCACTTTAGTAGAAGAATATCATATTTAGCCTGTTCCAGTTTGGGTGAAAAATATTATATATGTAGTTTGTATGGATTTCTACATAATTTGGTTTACGATAGTAAAATGAACAGAATCGTCTGTTTACCTGGTCTTTAGTTGGCAGTGTCTCCCTGAAGGCATTAAACAATTCATACCGTTGAAGGACAAGCAAAAGGAAACTATTTGGATCCATAAATGCTGCCCCTATCTATGAGATATAAATATCATAAATAGTACTAAAGAATAACAGAAGTGATACATAAGGAGCAGTTACTAGAAGATCGAAGTTAAAGACATATTCACCTGCAAAAGGATTATGTCCTTATCATACATTTCTTCTCTACATTTAACATCCTGATAATAAAACATCTGAAAGAAAAAAAAAGTTGATGAATACATTTTCATGCAGAGTTGAGATTTTTTTTTTTTTTTTACAAACACAGAACTAGACTTTCAATTTGGGCAAGTACAGTTCAAAAATGTCCAAAATAATTAGAATCCAAATTCTCTGGCACTTGAAATTGCATAAGAGGAAGCTGGCTTCAAGACAAGAGTGGAGCCAGTTATCCCCAGAAAGTGATCTCTACCTGTTCTCTCACAGCCCATGCCAAATAACGTATCCCACTCTGTCAGTGGAATAGCTTTTCGTGCTGCAGAAAGATTAGGGGACTGTTTGATTATTTTGCATGGTGGAGAGGTGGAAGGTCTGGGAGGGTTATGATTATTTGATACAAGCAGTTGTGCTGAAGGGTCAAGTGAAAAATGCAGAGTGCTGAAGGGAGGGGCAAACTGGTGATGGAAGCCATGAGTGGAGATGGGGACATGCTGAACTGGAGGGAGAAGAGAGAGAAGGAGGAACGACCAGGGAAGTGGTGGACAGAGGGAAATAGAGGGGGAGATAGGGGCAGGCTGCTGCAGGGAAAAGAGGATTGGTAATTTGAGACCAATTCCCCTCTTCTGGCTTCCATATTATTTCTTTGTAATATATCCCCCCATCTCTCTCTATTATTTACTTTCTTTCTTAATTTGTATACCACCGATTCCCAAAGGCTGTGGGTAGCTAATGATCAAGACAATAAATAAACCCACCCGTAGTATAAATAAAATTGACAATATTAAGTTAATAAACTGAAAATATGTAAAGTCGTGTGCCTGCCAGATTCCAACCTTCACTGGCAACACGCTTTCCTCCTGTACTAGCTGGAACAACCAGGCCTTAAAACAGCTCTCCTGAAACTTAGGATGGAATGAACAGACCAGATTGCTGTGGGAAGGGAATTCCAATATATGGGGACAGTGACTGAAAATGCCTACTCCAACCACTCCAAGGTCCCATCTGATGACAACATGCTGATTACTCCATTTGATTGGACTGGTAGATGAATAGGGGAGTACATATATACACATATACATGCATATACAATACTTGTATACAGTATACATATACAGTATATGTAGCAATTTTCTTTCTATTTAATTAGGCCTTTTCAAATGCAAATATATACACGTATTTTCCATTTATCTCACACAGGCTGTATTTTCTGTTATTTTACCACATTCATATTCAATATCTGTACTTAGGAAACACGTATTCTAATTTTAAAACTTTAATATGTTAGCACTACAATCTAACCTTATACTAGTTTGAATCTATTTCTTCTGTATCCCAAATTTTAGAAAGAAGTCAATCATGAATTGATTTGGTATTTAGAGTGTTTTCATTCTCTTTTTCAACTGAGAAAGGCTTCAGAGTGGCTAATGAAGATCAATAATGATTTTCCAAGATTGACATAAGAGGAAAAGATATTGGAAGAGGGAAGTTACAACATTTTTATCACAATAATCTGAAATGGAGTGACATTTTGACATTCATATTTTATTATGGCCAGGGCCAGGAATATGAAACACTAGTAAAGACAGTAAAATAAAACAAAACACAGGGTGAATCATGGGGGTCAATAGATAATTTGAGTTACAACTATGGGAGACCTTGCATTAGTTGCTGCCTCATTTTCATTGCCACTGTCCAGTACTTTGCTACACTCTGGATTATGGAGGATTTGAAGTCCAAGAAAAGTAAACTCATATAAGTTGTCTGTTAGGGCACTGACGAAGCAGAGGTAAGATGTCTGCCTTGCAGATGTCACTATAGTTACCACAGTAAAATAACACATGTGGAGCTGTTTCAGTACACCTGGCTCCACAGTAACGAGCATGTTTCTCATATGGGATTTTAGAATATCTTCCCTGTAAAGCAAAAATATGATGCCTAGGCCCCCCACAAACTTTTCCTTAATTTATAAAATGTAAGTGAAGAGAGGTAAGTAGCCACTTCCCAGAAGCCCTTTGCCACCCAGGTCCTGCTTCCCTGTGTTGAACTGTTTACTTCCATCTGAATCACAATATTGGTTACTGTTTGCAAATAAACCCTGCTGATAACCCACGTCATTTATTTTTGTTCTATGACATTGTTCCAGCTTGATGGAAAGCCACCAGCCAATATTAGCAGGAGTAAACTTGAGAGGAAAAATTGGAGCTTTAGCCAGTAATTAAACATCAGCCTCCATGCCCTGACCTCAATTTGTTTCTAACCTAAGAAGGGTGTTAACTACCCCAGTGTGTACAGCAAGTCTATATCTCAGAAATTTGTTTTGACCCATCTCAAAAGCATCCTTCCTGACATAAAGATCCACTTGGGCTCCATAAAATATTTGGGCTTGGAAGCATTTTAAGGCAGCAGAACATTCATGCTCTTCAGTAAAAGAAAAAAAATAGTATAATGGTTGTGGCAGATCTTGACAACAACTGGGAGATATAATCATGGTAAACTCTCCAAATTCTCATGGAAAACTGCTCTTGATATTTAAAAGTGCAAACCTGTTTAACTGGGCTTCCCTCTATATTCCATTTTTGTATTCTGCCCCTTTTAGCAAATAGGATATAATCTAGAATGGAGACAACAACTAATGATTGCTAGTCAGCTGAACTCATGGAATGTCCTTGCCTTATTTAATTATTTACTGTACATATATGTTGTCTCAGTCTAAAACTTTGTCTCTGTCCCTGCTGCAGTCTGATCGAACAGCTTTGGGATGGCAGCCAGGGAGAAAGAAGGCTCAATGAAACTGTATTCTCCATAGAACGGATGGCGGCCTTGAAGGTAAGTATGAAGCAAAATTTAGCCCATTAAGTTGCATGGAATAAATGTATTATAAAATGTAGGAGATAAGGTTCTAATTGTGAAAACAAATGTATTCATGGTAATTTGAAGAATACCTGGCTGATTAGAGACAGTCCATTCCTTCTCCACATTTCTGCAGCAACCTGAGCAACCAACGCTAGACAGCGCAAAGGATATTCGACCAACAGCTGCACTTGGAATTCTTTCTAAAAATAACACAGAAAAGATTATTTTTAAAACAATTGTAGATTGCATAGTTAATCATAGCCAGCAGATAAGCCACTGCAGACTGAAATCCTTCCTGTCTGAAGATGACTTGTTGATTGGAAAATAACCTGGGACCAATAGCTGAAGATTACTTTCTCTTCCACAAAACTCAAGAGGACTAGATAACACAGCCACATTCCCCACAACCCCCTCAGATGTTTCTAGATTTTGACCATAACTGTACATATTAAGAAATCAACAACTGGTCTTTTGTGACAAAGATACCAGAATAAACATTGGGGCACTGTTTCTTGGCCTTTGGCTATTACACTGTGGCACTATTTTGTCCTCAATGCTATTTAAAATTTATATCAAACTATACATAATATCATCGGGGAATTTAGAGTAAGCTGTCATCAATATACTATTCACCCCCTTAAATCAGGTGTGACCGTCTATGTCTGGAGCCAGTGCAGGGCTGTGCTGAATCAGGAAAAGGAAACTGAATCCTGGTAAGACAAGATTCAATGAAAAGTGGCACTCAAGTCTGGGAAAAGTTTTGTGGATCTATTTTGAGTCCACAGGGGAAGGAAGAATGCATTTTCTCTGTAGGAAGATGTATATTGTATGAGGATGCTTGTCAGTTCATCTCTCTCTCTAAAGGCCCAAGCAGCTAACAGTGCCTATTAGCAGTTTGGGCTGATATGAGACCTTCAACCTTCCTTGGCCATAATGCACAGATTACATGAATCCTTCCTCTGGCTTACAATACAGGATAATTTCAGGACTGGACTTCTGCTTTGTAACTGTATGTGGAACTGTAGTCAAGACTGCCTATGAATCTAGCGTGGAATGCAGAACTAGTCCTTTACTAATAGCTCATTGATATTCTGTATTTATTTAGCACTTTTCCTTCAAAGAATTTAAAGCAGAGCATCCTGTGCTTCCTCCTTCAACTGTATCCAATAGTATTACTGTAACAATTAAAGCAGATTAAGTTTAGAGACAGCGATTGGCAGTAATGAGCTTTATATCTAGATAGCAAATTTAAACTGGAATAGGAACAAAAGGATCTAATACACTAACCACTCCACCACTCTAACTCTCACACTGACTGAACAGCAGGAGGTACTTACAGATGAAAAAAACTCTTGGAGTCTTGAAATTACTCCAGTTTTGCTCAACTGTATGTGCAGACCTAGAAAACAGATTACCAGAGATTTTAGTTTTGATTAAAGGTGAGACACAAGACTCAGTGGTATAATCAGCATGCATTTCAAAATCACTTATATGGAGGCAATTTAAAACACTATGCAAGGTTCTTCACATCAGACATCCATTTGCTACCAAGTGATTAAGCGGATGCAGCACTAACCAAGAAAAGCATTTTAAAGGCTACATCTGGGCAATATAAAAACATTAATAACAACATTGTGAACAATATGGCAAGATAAAGGAGAGAGATTTTTTTTCCACAAAACGCATAGTTAACTTAATGAATTTGATACCATAAAGTATTTTTATTGTTATTTGGCATTTAAGCCCCATGAATTACATTTATAGAGGTCAAGCAGTCAATAATAGCCATGATAATAAATATACTTAAATAGAACCTGCAACTTCAGAAACCTGAGGCCTCATTTTTATCAAACCTGACTGGACATTAAAAGGAAAACTCAATTCTCAGCAACTGGCACTTACCGGCTAACATCCTAGACAATGGCAGATGGATGCTAACAGGATCTGTCGATACCTTGAAACGCTTGTTTTCCAAAGTATGGCCACATAAATTGATTACTGTTTTGTCCCATGAATAATTACTTGTAGACTTGCTACATCTCATTACTGCTGCATGGCACTCCTTATAAGCTGTAACCAAGAGCTCTTCCTGGAAATGATAGTATTTTTACAATTATAGTTAACAGCATATATAGCACTGAATTTGTGCAACAGTCATGGTAGCTGTGTTTCTGCAATTAAATTTGTCTCATATGTGCATCAGTGATTAAAAGTGAAAGTGTGGAGCATTAAATTGTAACAAGGCTTTAACTGTCCTATACTTGTTATTTCTTCTGTTAAAAACAAACCACATTTCTGTCAATTCTAGCCAAAAAAAAAAAAAACACCTCTATACCAATAATTTTCTGGTATTTTGTTCTTAAAAGAACATCTCTACTTAGCTATACTCTGGGAAATGCAAAGCTTTATGATTCACAATTCTAGAACTTATCAAGAAAGAATAGTTGCATTTTCTGTAGAGATTTGTAAAGACCTTAAGAGATACCAGTCCAGAAAAATAAGCAGTACTCAGATTTATAAACAACTTGTTTCACACGAAACAGCTACCAAAATCAGAATCTACATGTAAAATATCCAAGCATGTTAGCAGCCTCACAGTAAAGAAAGGGTTGTTTTCTTTTTCTTGAATAAAAGTAATTCCAGAGCCTTTCAAAGTTAACTGCTTTTAACATTTAATTTTTTAAGAATTCCCAAGGGAAAAAAATTGGGTTACGAGAGAACGGTCAGGTTGATAAGGCTCAGAGAGAGGAGCCTGCTCATAAGAAACTCCAATTATTCAGATCACTCCAAGCCTTTTTTACTATGCAGCTTACATCACAGGCACACCACTCCTGAAACATTAAGAGGATGTTCTTCAGCTGCATCTGGATTGAAATGGCTGCTTCCCAGTCAGGATCCACCTCAATATGCTGCCCAACTTGTCGCTTTATTTCCTCCATTCCCTATAACAAACCAAGATCCAGATAACTCAATTCAGAATTAGACCATAAGCTTAAACAGATAAGGAACGAAGGGTCAACTGAACTGAGGTAATTTTTGAGTTAAATGTGGCTATATTATACAGTATGTTATACTGTAATTGCATGCTTGCAGAATTCATAGTTATACTGAAGAAAAGTCAATTTACAGTTACTTAATAGAAGCAGAGTTCCTTAGAACTATTTTAGATCACATGAATGCAAAACAATAATTAAGTATCAGAGTACAGCTACACTGGAGTATACTACTAGCCATTGTACTAATTATCATTTGAATGTAATAAGAAGTACAGATTATATACTATACCTGCATACAAGTAAGAATCTTCAGGAAAGACTTGAAGCCTTCCAAAAACTGTTCTCGCAGTTTATCTGTCCACATAGTAGGTTTACTGATTAAAATATATCTATTGTAAGAAATAAATGTTTTTTAAAATGTATAGTAGTTCCACAGCAAGAACTGCTGAATAGTTGACTGATACTAGTTTTGTCTAGGAGATGACTACCATCTTGGGAGTTGTGACACATGGCACAAGACAGAAATGACTTTCTTTAAAGGGAGAAGTTACTTTCTTTACAGTATACAGGAAAGGACTATGATTTTATGATGACAGTGGCAGCAAGAGAAATATTCTTCTCCACTGCCACTACACTGCTTCAATAAATGGTTACAGAATAATCTAATACATTTGTTGAACATGGTTTTAAAGTCTTAGAAAGTGCTGGGTTCAAGACACTATTCAGTTTAAGCACAACACACTTTAAGATTTGCCTAACATTACAGCTGCACATCTGCAATATGAGTCATAACATTTACAGTGGGGCAAAAAAGTATTTAGTCAGCCACCAATTGTGCAAGTTCTCCCACTTAAAAAGATGAGAGAGGCCTGTAATTTTCATCATAGGTATACCTCAACTATGAGAGACAAAATGGGGGAAAAAATCCAGAAAATGAAGTAGTTACAGGTCTGTGAGAGCCAGACATCTTGCTTGTTTGTAGGTGACCAAATACTTATTTTCCACCATGATTTGCAAATAAATTCTTTAAAAATCAGACAATGTGATTTTCTGGATTTTTTCCCCCATTTTGTCTCTCATAGTTGAGGTATACCTATGATGAAAATTACAGGCCTCTCTCATCTTTTTAAGTGGGAGAACTTGCACAATTGGTGGCTGACTAAATACTTTTTTGCCCCACTGTAGAAGTAGTTACAGGTCTGTGAGAGCCAGACATCTTGCTTGTTTGTAGGTGACCAAATACTTATTTTCCACCATGATTTGCAAATAAATTCTTTAAAAATCAGACAATGTGATTTTCTGGATTTTTTCCCCCATTTTGTCTCTCATAGTTGAGGTATACCTATGATGAAAATTACAGGCCTCTCTCATCTTTTTAAGTGGGAGAACTTGCACAATTGGTGGCTGACTAAATACTTTTTTGCCCCACTGTAGAAGTAGTTACAGGTCTGTGAGAGCCAGACATCTTGCTTGTTTGTAGGTGACCAAATACTTATTTTCCACCATGATTTGCAAATAAATTCTTTAAAAATCAGACAATGTGATTTTCTGGATTTTTTCCCCCATTTTGTCTCTCATAGTTGAGGTATACCTATGATGAAAATTACAGGCCTCTCTCATCTTTTTAAGTGGGAGAACTTGCACAATTGGTGGCTGACTAAATACTTTTTTGCCCCACTGTAGAAGTAGTTACAGGTCTGTGAGAGCCAGACATCTTGCTTGTTTGTAGGTGACCAAATACTTATTTTCCACCATGATTTGCAAATAAATTCTTTAAAAATCAGACAATGTGATTTTCTGGATTTTTTCCCCCATTTTGTCTCTCATAGTTGAGGTATACCTATGATGAAAATTACAGGCCTCTCTCATCTTTTTAAGTGGGAGAACTTGCACAATTGGTGGCTGACTAAATACTTTTTTGCCCCACTGTAGAAGTAGTTACAGGTCTGTGAGAGCCAGACATCTTGCTTGTTTGTAGGTGACCAAATACTTATTTTCCACCATGATTTGCAAATAAATTCTTTAAAAATCAGACAATGTGATTTTCTGGATTTTTTCCCCCATTTTGTCTCTCATAGTTGAGGTATACCTATGATGAAAATTACAGGCCTCTCTCATCTTTTTAAGTGGGAGAACTTGCACAATTGGTGGCTGACTAAATACTTTTTTGCCCCACTGTATTCAGCTGATCATATAAGCACTGTCCAAAGATATCCAAAGTGCTAGTCTCTGTAATTCTAATTTATACATCAATATGTAAAGTCAAGTATAGAAGAATACCAATGTTTTAAACAAATAGGCAGACAACAGTCAAGAAAGATATTTGCAAGATGAACTACTACTTTTCATAAACAGGAAAACTTACCTAAGATCATATATGACTGCATACACTCGGCCCAATTTCTCTTGGCTGTAACCCTGGAAATTGAATTTGCCATTTTTATCCAAATATTTTGGTAGCTCTTCTAGAAGTGTCTCTGTTATGACTGTGATGACATTTTGCTCTTCAATTAGATGGCGAGCCTGAGGAGGAAAATGCATTCAAAATCTAAAGTACATAAAACTTTACCCTTATTCACACCGTATTCACATAAGGACAAAGTAGAACCAAAAAAAAAAAGTGGTTTGCATTAACATAACGATCTGTCTCTGTACTTCCTGTTGATGCCTTTTGAATGGCCTGGTGAACCTTAGCTGCATTCAAATCAGTCATTTTTTGCTATGACATAGTTATTAGAAAGTTACCTTCCATACAAGATAAAGCCATCTCTCACAAGTCCTCTTCATGTATTATGAAGTCTAGAGAGTTCATCATGTGAGTGCTCCTGATACCCCTTTCCTGACAACAACACTGGAGTAACGTCTTTCTCCTGGACATGTTCATATATTGAGTGTGAATATGAACTGAAGGAAAGCCAACGTATATGAAACTCTATGTGTGTTGGCTTCCATGTGAGCCAGGACTCCAATTAAGCTCAATGCAGGAACATCTGTAGGAAAATGATACATTCACAAAATGAATGCACCAGATTTCATAATACATAGAAGACTATAATGAAGAGGAAATTTTAGCTAGCTTAAAGCCTGCTAAGCTTCTTTGTGCATGCTTGGTCCTCAGGATCAATATCCTTGGTCCTAGAAAGAACACGCCATTTATGGCCTTGGAAGGGAAAGACACTTCTTCTAAAGTTTAGGAGAAAAGTAGGACTTTCTACAGTCCTTTCTGAACATTTCAAATTCCCTTTGCCTGAATAATCTTAATCAGTAGAAATATATTTTGAGATGGAAAAATCTGATTTTTTAAACTGCTTTGAAGAAACTAAATCTTTGGTATTTCAGGGTTCTATTTTTAGAAACAAACAGTATTACATCATTTGGCAGAAAATTCACACAGAATAATTGTTCTTTCATCACAATTACAGATATAATGTGTAAAAGACAAAAAAAATCTTGGAATAAATGAAGAAAACTGTTAATACTAAAATTGAAAATGACAGCAAAAGATTTTCATCATGCTGAATAAGAAATGAGAGCCAGTTTGGTCTAGTGTTTAAGGCAGCAAGTTAGAAACCAGGAGACTGTGAGTTCTAATCCCCCCACCCCTGACCAGGCATGAAAGCTGGCTGGGTGACTCTGGGCCAGTCACTTTCTCTCAGCCCAATTTACCTCACAGGATTGTTGTTGTGGGGAACAACAGAGAATACAGAGGATATTTCTGGATTTATGTATACTTAAAAAAATGTTCTGTGACTCTGTCAAAAAGTTGAAGAGATGGCAGGAAAGTGTTTCTGGATCTAACCAAGTTCAAACCAAATGCCCCTCATTGGTATTGTTTGTATTTCCTTTATTAATCAGTACATTTTTAAATGTAACAATACATTTTAATTAAAATGTTTTTGCAATGAACTTTGAAGCATTTTTAAAAAATGTTATAAACTAGATTGTTTCACCAGGAATGTAATATAAAAGAGTTTGGATTCAATACCACTAAGATCTGTTTTTATGAGAAGTGTTCAAAACTTACTTCTCCAGCTGTATATCCAGAAAGGATTAGCTTCAAGGGATGCTGGGAGGATCAAGAGGAAGAGACAGAAAATCCCTGTTCTTCCAACAGGACACAGTGATTCTTCAGACCCAAGTAATAAGCTTGTGCAGTGGCAGGCTAACTACATGTTCATGTGTTCAAATCACACAGAGATATAATATTTAAAATAATACAAAATATTCTGGCTGTACATACCAGTGTTGGTACAGTGAATATCTGAACTGAAAGTGCTGTCACAGAAAACTGTCTTTCATGATCATCACTGATATATTCTCTCTGCAAAGCTTTGTAATGCTGTGAGTACACAAATACAAAGAAAATATTGTTTACTGACTGGAATATTAGGCATAGGCAATATGAGGAGTAGAAGTTTGATAAATAAAATATTTACTTTCTTTCAGGAAGATTCTTTATTTCACCAGAGTATCCAACTATGGTTAATAGTCTTTGGCAAATAGGATACATTTGGAGAGCAAATGGATAAGATCTAATGGATGATCATTAATTTTCATTTATGTTTATTTAAATTTGAGTTTAAAGTTAAATTTAATTAATATGATTAATATAATTCAACCCACATAGTTAATTTCATTTTATTTATTTCCTTCATTTTAAAAATTAAGACAAAGCAGCAGATAAAAAGCAGTAGTTTTTATAAGCCACACCAAGGTGTGTAAGACCACACATGCCCCTTGGAGTTTAGGTTGTGCACCTCTGCATTATAACTTGTCACAGAATACAACAATGCTTAAAGTATACTTATTTATTTTTATATTACAGCTCTCAGAAGGCAAACAGTTATTTTTACTAATGAGATAACAATTTAAAAGATATAAAGAAAAACTTTACTACTCTAAGTGAAAGATAGCACATAAGACAAATTACCTTAACAAATTCCATAGCAAAATGTTTTTTATATTCCATTTCCATAAAAAAAGTACTGAAGATTAGTTCATGTAAGATCTTCCTTGCTCCTGGAAAAATCCATGAAATAAATGTTTTTTTTTTACCCATAAACATTTCATTCCAAATTAATAATGGATATTTACTAAATGTAACGCTTATATAAAAATGGAAAACCTATCTAAGAGAAAGTGCTAAACTGCTCTATAAAGTGTGGCTCATCTCAGGGAGTAACCTTTGGCTAAAAGGATATTACCCTTTTTAGAAATTAAATAAAATATCTACTGTATCTTTTCTAAGTATAATTTGTCTTAAATGTGTCATATCCACGATAGTTTTACTTAAAGAAGTGACCCCACTGCCTTAGAAGCAAAGCTGTAAGCAATAGAGGCTCAAGTGGTTGTGGTGGAAATACTGCCCCTCAAAAGAAAAAAAAGGGAAGGAGGAGAACGAGTGAGAGCCTCTGAAAATATCTGGAGGAGACAAGAAGCAGGACAGAGAAGCATTTGAAGCAAAGGAAAAGCTAGCAACGCCCACGTGAGTAGCCTAGACTGATCTTGTGAGTAGGCCAGACACTGGACTGAGGAGGCAGTCCTGAGAACCAGCAGGTAGACTCCTTGAGGAAACTGAGGGGAAGATGGCCACCACCCAAGTATAACAGTGGATGATGTCAAGAAAAGTCTTACAGGGTGAGCTTTGATGAGGGCCATGGAGAAGTAAACAGCTCAGTGGTGACAAGCTGCATCCCAAGAGGGGATGGAGCAGGGAGGGAGAAGAAAGAGGAGCAGAAGAAAAATAAGTAATCCTTCCTTTTTCCTGCCCCTCTTCTCCAATAACAAGGAGCTAGCAACCCTCCAACTGTGCTCACAATTGAACAGTAGAGGGCATCTAGTAGACAGGCCAGCACCAGAGCCAGCAAGACATAATACTGAAGGTTACCAAGCCCCAAGCTGTGACCAAGAGCGGGAGAGAGAGAGAGATGCCAGAAGGTCATATCAAGAGAACCTAGCAGAAAGCATCTGGGACCTTGACAATAGTGGAACAGAGACAGATGGTTAAGGATCAAGAAAAGCTAAGATATAGGTTAAAAATTAATTGTTAGGCTAAGGAGGTAAACCAAAGTTAGAACGCAGAAGTGATTTTAAACAGAGGTGAATTAGGTTGTTGCCAAATCCAAATGAAATAACAGTATAGAACCCAGTATAAAAGTATAGAGTAAAGGAAAGTTAAAACTGAAACAATTAAGGCCAACTGGGAAGTGTTTACAGCTAACTGGGCGTGTAAGAACAAAGAATGAAACAGAAATCAGAACGACAGTAATACAGCAAAATAAAAATATAATAGAAAAGTGCCAGGAACCTACAAAATGTACGATTATTATCTTAAGTATACAGATTAGATGTTAAATAAATTAGGTAAATACTGTAAAAGTAAGTGTCTAGAAGCAGAGTATAAAACATATTCAGTAAATGAAAAAGCACTCCATTGTTAATTGATAAGCGAAGCCTGTTTTTGGAATACACTGATAATACATACTATTGTTATTTATTATTGCCACATATTCTGCCTGGGCTTGTTGCTAAACCTATGACAACGCATAAAAGGACATCAATTAATGGAAGCAATGTACTTCTCACAAGGAAATATATTTGACACAATGAATAAAACAAGAAGTTAAAGGTCTTGTATTAATTTCCTTTCTTTCAAAGTTCATCTTGTCAGTATTTTGTTTCTTACAGGGGCCCACCAGATGCTTCTAGGAAACTCTCAGTTGGCAATAGCTCTGTTATAAAGGACTCAATTTACCTTTATAAAGTTTTGCATCCCACAGCATCAGCATGCTTATTAGACAAGGTTTCCCAACTCCTTCTGTTAAACATATTTTACAGAATATCTGACGAAAATCACCTAAAAGAGGAACATGTAATATGAAGGCTTAGATTACTGAAGGACTTAACTGAAATCCTTATTATGAAAAATATTGTGCAAAAAATCTTCACATATAGCATAAATATATTTGAAAATGGCCTTGCTTCACACTGAGTGACTTTATGTCAATCACTTTCATCTATATTTCTGTGACCATTTTGCAATAATAATCAATGGTACAACACAAGGCTTTCCTATGAGGAAAAAAGGTACAAAGGTTCCTGAACAACTTTGCCAAACAAAGTGAGTAAAGCCCCAAAACCTGACCTGATTTTATCTGGAGGTGTAGATAAGAAAAAATGATGCCCTAAGAATTAAGGCATAATTTTGTCCCTTAAGAACCAGGAAAGAAAAAGAAATAAATTTGAATCCTGCCTCCACCTACTTTTGGAAGGTGACCCTTGGCATGCTGTGCAAAGTTCAGTGTGGCCATCAAACCTACAAAAGTTTGCATCACTGTTCTAGGGGATGGTGATCTAGCAGTAGCAGAAAAAGGTTTTCAAAGGAGAACCGAATCAGTTTTTACTAGTTTTATAAACAAGTGAAACACTTGCCAAAAATAATAAAAATCTTTTTCAGTATTTTGGAATCTATACACAACACAAAATAATCTAAGATACTTACTTGAATAGCTCATAAGTTTGTTTAACCAAGAGCCAAGACGTAAAGCAAATTTCTGATGAGCCATTACATCTGCGTGAAGAACCATCACATTAAGGGGACCTTGGGAAACATTATTTGAATGTTTCTAGAAAATAAGAATATTTAAAATTTGAATGAGAAGACAACAAGCACTCTATTATCAAAGATGAGCAAAAATGTGGGGTTAAAATCAAGAAAAAAATCTCTGTAACTCTATCTTCATAAATATACAGAACAGTATTACTGTTTAATATTTTAAAAATTCCATTGTTACCTTAATCTCCTCTTTTGCTTCCTGACAAACAACATAGGACCCCTTCTTAACAGCTTTCCGACCCTATATAATTTTTTAAAAAATGAAATAAAATAGAGATAGACAGGACAATGTTAATACAGTATGCAAACAAAGACAGAATCAAAATGGAAAACATTTAAAGTTGCTTTCAGGCTGATTTAAACGGAAGTGGTACAAATAGTCAGTCACTTTGTATTATAATTTTAATTTGAATTAGCTTTTTGTTAAAAAGATACATATTAACATCCATGACTTTTAAAACTGACAAATAACATTAAAAATGATTACAGAGGTAACTCTATTTCATACAACATGTAGCTACCATAACGGAACAAATTCACTGTCAGAAATTAGCATAGGGCCTGGATGTTCACAGGGTTTTAAAAACGTTCTTAAGTCACAGTCCATTAATTCTTCTGTCCCTTCTCTGGATTATTCCATTCCAGAGGAGGCTTGGAGATTCCCAAAAGTAAATCCTCTAAATGGAAGCAGTGAGGTTTATCAGTTCGGAGCATTTATGTCCATTAACACCAAACACCAAACTATCTTCAGAATGGTACGGTCTGAAAGAGATAAGGCATAGTCCAGAAGAGGAATGAAACATTCTGGAGTTGCCATTTCATTCCTGAATCAGTGAATTTTACACCAGTGAATATACTTGTGTATAAACCCATCTGTGGATAAGCCAATGCTTGAATTTTTACCTAAAATACCATGAAAAATGCACCACCCACAGATAAGCTGAGCCACATTTTTCATAGTATTTTGATTAAAAATTCGAGGCTGCTTATCCATAAGTATATATGGGAAATACAGGTACTTTAAAAAAGTATTACCATATATATTTGCAGATAAGCTGAACCTGATTTTCTGGGTGTATTTTGGCACAAAAAAATTCTTGGCTTATCTGCAAGTATATATGGTAAACGGATTTTCTGAGACTAAAGGATTCCACTTATATTCATGGGTATGGCTGAAGAGGATTCTCCTTTCATCTCCCAGCTATGGTGTAAGGAAAATCTCCTTCCTTCTCTTTATCCCATCCCTTAGGGCAGTGCTTCTCAACCTTATCAACTCTAAGATGTGTGGACTTCAACCCCAGAATTCCCCAGCTAGCGTGGGAATTCTGGGAGTTAGTCCACACATCTTAGAGTTGCCAAGGTTGAGAAACACTGCCTTAGGGACAAACCGTTTACCTTGTTAACCCTTATGTGAGCAGGGATCCTCCAAAGCATTTCCTGGAAGATGGCTGGATTAATATAAAGCAAAGCTAAAAATGCAAAAACCTTTAAAGGCTTGTGAGAATAAAAAGGTCTTTACCTAGAACCCAAAACCCCTGTAACTTAGAATCAAATGAACTTCTCTGGAGGAGAAATTCCAAAAATGTGGCCTGCTGCTAAAAAAATCTCTTCCTCTGGCACCATATCTCATGGGTGGGAATACTGTAACAAGAGCCTCAGGAAAAAATATTTAGATTTGAACAGTAAATATGGGAAGAAATGATTCTTCAGAAATAAATTCCTTAAATATTATGAAAAAGCCAGATTTAAAATGCACACTGGCACAAACATGATTCTGTTAGAACAATATTCAGAGAAAATTCAAATTGAGCTCAACTCCTGGTGACATAATAATTTCTTCTTAAAATACAAATTCATTTTTCAGTCTAATATAAAATGAGAAAAGAATTTGGCATAGGAATAAAAATGTGACAAGCCCTGTTTATTCAACTAAATTTCTAGGAGAATAATTAATCCTGCTATAACAATTATAACTATTATAACAATAATAATTTTCAATTGACTTAAAGGAAAACCATCATTCTGAAAACTGTAACTCCATAACATAATTTACCAGAAGGATTTATTCTAATATAAGGTATTGATTATCTTGACAACTTGGAATCAAATAATGAACACTGCAAGGATCTTACACCAATCTGTGCAAGAGAAAACTAAGCAGCCAAGCTCTATCAAAAAGCAACACAATCTCAGCATTTGTAGAAAATGGCAATATCCTGCTTCCATTTCTCCCTGCATCAGGCTGCATACCACAACAGCACAACAGCTCTATGTCAACTGGAATACATCCACTTGTTCCAGAAATTATGTATGCTACTAACCTCTTTATCTATAGCAGTAGTATATAACTGGGCTTCTCCAAGGTCACAGCCAAGAGTTCTTTGTAGACTGTAGATAACATGATCGTAAGAATGATGCTCATCATTGAAAAGGACACAATAGTGTTTGTCTGATTTCTCTCTACTGTAAAGAAACCAAGAGATCATTGATTACCCACAGGAAAAACTGAAATAACTTCAAAATAAAAGTTGGCCATAGGAATAGCACAAGCCAAAAAAAAAATGTGGAGCACAGATAGTTAAACTGAGAAATTCATAATCAATACATGCTTTCAAAAATGTTCCCATTTATATTAGAAGAGTCCTTGATCCAATTATTCAGCATTAAATAGGAAGTTCCCATCTTGTTTAGCAGATAGATCTATGCAATGTAGAATATATCACTTTCAACAACTTGGAAAGCAAGAATCAAGTTACTTTAGTATCACTCTCCTTCCTCCCCCCCCCTTGTCTTAGTGCCTGATTCAGTTCATGACTATGTAGTAAGCAAGTATAGAAGAATTAGAGAATATTGACTTCCAGGGGACGTATGGCGAACTGAAAACATCTCCACGAAAGCAGAACTTATGACTGGAGTAAAGAACAAGGAACCAGTGAGTAGGCTGGTTCCTTGGAACCTCTCTGGATAAAGAGAAGATGGGAGATCGCCCACATGTGCACTGGATAGCCGCTCCTTGTGAGGAGACTGTTTTCCGCAGGTTTGAGTGCCAGGAGACAAAGGGATCAGCCACCTTGCTCACAACCATGGCAAAGCCTTTTAAAGGACACTAAGTTCACAAACCTCACTTTCTAATGACTTTCAGAAATTGCCTATTTACCATCTTAAAGCTATTAGAGACTTTGGACTGACAAGTCTGAAAGTCATCGGATGAGTTTTATCTTCAACTCTGAACAAAAGAAAAATTAATTATAAGCTTAAGAACTTAAAGAATTTGAAATAAACAGCAAAAAGCTGAATACGATTTTGATCTAAGAAAGTTATAAACAGATTAAGGGTCCAGATAAATTTGGAATATTGACTTACTATAAGATTTTGGAATTAGCAGTAAAATATAAATAGCTTCTCGTGGGAAACAGACTTATTTTGACTATCTGAACAAAAGAAAAATTAATTATAAGCTTAAGAACTTAAAGAATTTGAAATAAACAGCAAAAAGCTGAATACGATTTTGATCTAAGAAAGTTATAAACAGATTAAGGGTCCAGATAAATTTGGAATATTGACTTACTATAAGATTTTGGAATTAACTTTAAAATATAAATAGCTTCTCGTGGGAAACAGACTTATTTTGACTATAAGCTGAATACGATTTTGATCTAAGAAAGTTATAAACAGATTAAGGGTCCAGATAAATTTGGAATATTGACTTACTATAAGATTTTGGAATTAACTTTAAAATATAAATAGCTTCTCGTGGGAAACAGACTTATTTTGACTATCCTAGCTATTGCAAGTCATAACAAAGATAAATTACATTATGATTTTAGAAATTGGACACTAGAGGGGAATTAATGATTCTAAGCAGAAGGAAAAAAAATACAAGCCTGTTCTTGATGTCAGTTAATATTGGGACTTACAACATGACACAAAATGTTATAACATTGGAAATGTTAAAGGAGATCCCTGAAGAATGGAGCTAGAAATTAGTAACTACAATATCAACACTGTCAGTAATGACGTCTGCTTCTATGGCTAGACTATGTCCAAAAGATGTTAATGAAGGAATGACAGATGTGGAACAAATTTTATCTGACAAGAGTCTGCTTCTATGGCTAGACTATGTCCAAAAGATGTTAATGAAGGAATGACAGATGTGGAACAAATTTTATCTGACAAGACAGAGAAAGTACTGAAAGTGGAACTATAAATGACAGGCCAAGAGAATGATTTGAAAAAGGACGCTTTACTGGATATACAAAAGAAACTGGCTGCAGTTTTAAAAATTAAAAGGGAAATACAAATGATAAACCTGTCAGAATCCTCGCAATCAATCAACGATCCTGCTAGTTTGCTTGCTTTGTTTCTGCCATTACAGAGAAAAGGGGGGGATGGGTGGAAGGTGAACCGTTAGGCGCAGATGGACTGTTATCTAGTTCCCAGGAATGCCCAAGGCCGTACCAGCGTGAGACCAGGAAAGAACCTTTGACATGCACAAGAGACACTTGGAGACAGAAGGGAGGGGGGAATGAAATGGACAGGGAGTAAAATCAAGTTTTGGTGCATGCGGGACTCAGTACCATCAATGCTCTAGATCTGTACACTACTTCTCAGTAAATGAACTTTTCTTTGAACTTGCAACAGTTTCAAGGGGAGTTGCTTTTGTTGGGAACTGAGTTCCGCAGATTCTTACAAAACCAAGAAAATGACCTGGAAAATGTTTTCTTATTGGATCTACAAAAGAGGCTTGAAGAAATCTGTGTGATGGGATAAGAAGAATTGAAGAGAAATCAAATCCTATGACAAAATTTGATTGATTAAAGATTAAGACTGTTAGAAGTAAAAGGAAGGAATATAAAGTTGTTTTATTTGATCAAAGTTAAAATAAGACTTTTTTGCAAAGTTTGGCAACCCTTTATGGACTTTTTGCTGACACCAGGATTGAAAAGTTGATGTTTTATGGCTTCTTTATAGATAAGGGATGGGATATGGGATAGAGTTGTTTGTAACTTTATAGGGAGTGAAGAATTACTAAATATGTTTATACTTATTGTGATGGTTTTTTATATATTTTTCTTTTTATTATATTCTTTTTCTTTTTTCCTACACTTTTTATTCTTTTTTTCTCTTCTTTTTTCTTTAAGTTTAGCTTGTATTAGTGTCAGGCCCAGCCCAAGAACAATGGTGAAACAGTCCAGTTCAGTTAAGTTCCTTTATTTGGTTACATCTATAGACAGAATCTTGCCAGACTAAATCTGTACTCCTGCAACTAATGGACGCACCCTGGGAGATTCCTGGGAGTGGCTATCCTGAACCTCTTTTCCTTCCCACACTCCACCTCCAGACTCCGTTGTCTTTTGTCTCCCTGCCCTTCCGGGAATGCACCTCTTCCTTCCTGATAGCCTTGATCTCTGCTTCTATCCTGCACATCACCCTACTCTTTGTGGATACATTCCATCACAATTAGCTTTTACTATAGTAATAAAAATTCTTAATAAAAATTAAGTCCCCCCCCCCCAAAAGAAGAATTAGAGAACGCTGAATAGTGTGTTGTGCTGTCGCCTCTTAGTTTGATGTGGGTAACATACTGTGGGCAGCTACCTGTTCTGGATGTCTCTACCAAACAAGAAGAAGTCTTCAACATGAGGACAGTGCTTGTATTTCAATCTTTTTGTTTAATATAGGAGGAATCTAGTAAAGGATATATATTAGCTATGCAGTATTCTGAAAAGTCTAGAAGGCTGCCCTAAGGAAACAGAAGTCATATGTTGCACACCCTTTTTCTGAAACCAACCTCAACAGAGGCATGAATATTGATTTAATAGTTTTAGCAGGTATCATGTGGATAACCAACAGCTGTTTAATAGATTTGTCTCATTATAGCGCTGTGAATATAGTGGCTGCTCTGATGGAATCAGCTGGATTGAGTGGCATGATTAAAGATTGAGATTCATGAACATAAAATTTAATCCACTGCCCTCTTTGTGAAAAGAAACTTCTCCCTCTAGTTGAACTCAATTAAATGGAGCTTTTCTCTTTTACTATTGTTTAAAACCGTCTTCCTCCAATAGAGGTGAAATGCAAAAATATGATAATTGTAGTCACTATAAATCTTAAAATGTCAAATCTTTCTAATATATAGCTTGTGCAAAGTACACTCAGAAGGATGGCTAACTCTGGGAAAAAAGGAAGGGAAAATTGAAGGACAGAAATCCAGATTTTCCTTGTAATGACCAGCTCTATCTCTGCAAAGCTAAGCAATGTCTATACTAGTATGAGGTCTTAAGTACAGATGGCCTTCAGCAATTTGTCTTGACAATTGCAAGAAAAAATCCATTATCTGCTAGACTAATCTGTTACAGAATATGAGGACAGGAATTCATTTGACTTGCAGGGTAAGAATCGCAAATATTTAAATTATCTGGACGATTCTATAGAGTTCTCATCTCCTACTCATCAACTCATTTGCCTTTCCTTGCTAAGTTATTCAAAGTTCTTGTCTAATCCTGATTGAATGATGCATTATCTTCCCTGTTTGTTACTTTATTACTAACAATCTTGGAACGGAGACAAGTAAGACACCTAGACGCCAATTCTAACAAATCACTTACTTAGTCATAAGCTCTGAAGGCAGCTCTTTCTCCTCTTCCCAAAGAGTCATACGAACAATATATTTTATAACTGAAGGGAAGATTTTCCTTGCTTGCGCTATTACCTCTTCATTCAAGTGGCATTCCAAATTCTACAAAACAATTAAAATATACCCATATTAGATCCACAGTACAGATAATAAAATAAACAAGACCGAGTAATGTTGTAGACTGTTTCACTGCTAACTAGAGAAAGAAATACCTTGCAATAGTAATTGTTCAGTAGCAAGTATCTCTCTCTCTCTCTCTCTCTCTTGGTTTTTTGGGGATTTTTTTTTTGTGCCAGTTGACTTCTGGCAAGGTTTTTCAGAAGTGGTTTGCCATTGCCTCCTTCCTAGGGCTAAGAGAGCTGGCTTTGTGCCTAAGATAGGATTAGAACTCACAGTCTCCTGGTTTCTAGCCTGATGCCTTAACCACTACACCAAACTGGCTCCAGAAAACATTGAAAAATTCCTGCTGAAATCCAAGACAGCTGCTGTCAATGGCTTAACTCACTATGAAGCAGCTTTCCATGATCTATTAATCTTTCTTTAAAAGATATAAAAGATATATACAGGTAATCCTTGCTTATTGATGGTAATTGGGACCAGGAACTCTGTTGTTAAGCCATGCAGTCATAAGGCATGATGTCACATGACTGTGTCCACTTATGACAGCAGTTCCGGCAGTCCCAGTTGCCGTCATTAGGCGAATCCTGTGCGGTTGCAGTGTCCCACAGTCACGATTGCCATTTGCGACCTCCTGCTGGCTTCCCCATTGACTTGTTGGAAGCTTGCAGTAAAGGTTGCAAATGGTGATCATGTAACTGTAGGACATTGTGATGTAATTGCGAGCCAGTTGTTCAAATTGCAATCATGTGACCACGGGGATGCTGTGACAGTTGCAACTACAAGGACCTGTTGTGAGTACCCTTGTTCAGTACTATTGTAACTTCAAACAATTGCTGAATGAGTGGACATTAAGCGAGTACTACCTGTTTAAAAATAACCTACCAGTCTCTCTGCTTAAGCTAGTCAAGGTAGTCCAGGATGGGAGTGCTATTATTCAGAAGAGGACTGCCTTAGGAGAACCATTTAAGATTTCATGGCACTCTTTCAATATGTCATTAGCTGGTCAAAGTTCAACATGATTATTTTCAGTCAAGGGAAGAACTGGTGGGAATTCTTTGTTACCCTACTATCATGTTCATATAACTTCTTGTTGAAGTTGTGATAAACAGCTCCCGAGAGTCCACTTTTATAAAATTATAAAATCTGAAAAAGTCCTTAATACTCCAAGAGACTTTCTAGTGACATGGTAGCATCTCTATGAAAATTTACATATTACAATGGAACATAAACATCCAAGCTTATGATACAAAGACATTCCAAACATTTTTGTGCACATGCCCAGACAACCAGTACAATAATTAGAAATTATTCTTTATACAGTAATATTTGTTTTCCCATTTATTACAGACAAGTACCTCTTTAGTATTATCTCCTACTCCAAGCTCATGATTTGTACATACTGGTCCAGTCTTCCATGCTTCTGTATCTCCACAGTCACAAAATCCTCCTCCAGTGGAAGTATGCATCTAAAACAATTAAGAACAGTGGACACAATGGGATGTTAGCAACCATTAATTCATTTTGGATATAATGCTGAACAATGGTACAGCATATATCATAGCAATGCTATACTATGTGAATAACAGCTATACACAAACTTGTCTGTGCTCTCCTCTTCTTCTGCACTGTTGCAAGGAAACTAGCATCTTTAACTTCCACTTTTAAATTAACCAGTTTTTCTTTCCTTTAAATGGGGGATCCTAGATATCTCTGTAGGGAAATTTGAGATTTCTTTCTGAGATTATCTAGCATATCTTAGTGAAAATAGGAACTTCTTTTCCTCAGCTTTTGCCACCATCTGTAATGGACTGTAAGAATAACTTTGGGAGACAGGAAGAAGAGGTGCAACCAGGGCAATAGTCAGATAAAGAGCTGTCTCAGTCCATAGCCGGAATGGAGATGAGAAAGCACCTCAGAAGGGACCATCCCTAGTTCTCCGGAAAGTAAAGTCAAGAGAGGGGGAAATGCTTTCAGACTTGCAAGATTCTGTAACTGTAACCTTATAACAAAGGTAGTATTAGTACTCATGGTTTTGGTTTCCTGCCTGGAGTACCTTGAAAGGCAGACATCATCCTTAAATCTTAATACAATTTATCAATTTGGAATTTACAGGTTGAGAGGATGCTTTTGACAACTCAACTAAAAAGATTAAGGGGCAACAGTAATTTCTTTACAAAGGAAAAAAGATTCCAGCTTTTTAGCACAGAATCAAGGCAAGTAGGAAGGATCAGGACAGAATGTATAAAATTATGCATGGTGTGTAGAACATGGACAGGGAATCTATCTAATCAAACAGGGGCCCAGGTCAGTCAATGAGCTAAACTGTGGGAGATTCAGGACATAAGGAAGGAAGCACTTCTTCACACAGCATATAATTAAACTATGAAATCCATTACAAAAGTTAGCGCTGGCCATTAACTTGGACAGCTTTGAAGTGGGTTAGACAAATTCTTGGATGAAGTGATCAATGATTACTAAAAGAAGTTAAAAGGGAAATAGCTAAATTCTTTCACAACACCTGGACCGTATATGACAGAAACTCTTAGAATTCTTCTTGCTCAGGGTAAACTAAGATAGGCTTGCCTTCAATTGCTGAGATCCATAAAGCTATTTTGGATGTACTCAAGCACTCTTGTTTTTTATTTTTGCCTGCACAGAGCAGTTAGAAAAGTTGTCACCTATTTTGCTTGAGATATTGCCTGATAACTTATTACTAGGGAGAGAATATTTTTCTTGTTTTCCTTTTGTGGTTTTATTGATGTATTGTTATTATGGTTCAATTAATTATCTCCTTATTTTAATTGCCATGGCATGAATGATTTCCCAACTGAAAGATTTATTGGTGTTTGTACCTTTTGGCCATCAGATGATAAATTTTATACATACACATACAAAATAATCATGTATCTTTTTCTCTGTCTACAGCCTATTGCTCCCTTGGAATCTGTTTCAGGGATGTATTTCCTGAAAACCCAGAAATGCTAGATATATGCTACAAGATCTTATCTATTACCTAGGCGGCTGACAAATATAAATTAATCCTTTCTTTTTTTTCACCCTAGAGAGCCTAAAAGTAAATTTATGAAATTAAATAGTCAGCTTTTCTATTCTGCCTAGTATTCATGGCTGCCTGAACTGATGTGGCCATTAAATATTCTACCACTTAGCATAAATTGGTTTTTCATTTACTGTTATTTGCCTTCAATGCTTAAAAAACACATTCAAATTCTCATAAATGCTCATTTATGTTACTAGCACGCAACATTGTTAGATATCATTCCAAAGCCCACATTTCCTTACCTTGTAACGATGATTTAGATGAATGCTATTCTGGAAGCAATCCATGCAAAGTACACAAGTTGGATCAATTGCACAATCCCTGCAACAAAAATAAGAAATTAGTGACATAGAATAAATACTTATTTCCCAAAAACTTATCAAGCTTCCAGGTTCCAACAGTGTTAATTGAACAGAGAGTGAGAGCATTCACACACAAGCCAGAATTGCTTATTATTAGGGATGGGCAAAATGTTTTGTGCACAAACCATTCTGAGCATGAAATAGTGGTTTTGGGTGGTCAGCGCCTAAACTGAACTATGCATGTTTCAGATGTTTTAGTCCAAAAATAGAACAAAACAAGATTGCTTTTTCCTAGAAATGGATCAAAATGGAATTATTCTGAGTAGAAGTCATGGTGGGGAGATTAAGCGTGAGAAGCTAAGGCAGATAGGTTTCCTTAGTGATGGGTCTATAGACACTGGAAGAAGTAGCAGCAGTGGCTTGAGAGGGAGGAGAGAGGTGGCTCTAAGAAAATTAGGGTGTGGATAGGCTGGTAGGACATGCCACATAAGAATATTGGTGGCTGAAGGGAGGAAGGGAAAGGAAAGTGCTGGGAATATCAGGGGGCAGGCTGGTCAGTAGGGCATAGTGGGATGTCAGAAGTGGCTGTGGAAGGGAGGTGGAGAGGGAGAGAAGGGAAAGCGCACAGAAGATTGTGGAGTGGTCACACTGGTGCACAGGCCATGCCAAGAAGGAGGGGAGAGAGGGGGTGACTTGCATCAGCCTTACTCATCTCCTAAAATCACTCTGGATCCCTCCATATTTTGTTTCAGACAAAATCCAAAACAACTAAAATGCTCCATGTTTTGTTTCTGCTGAGCTGCACTCAATTCAAAAAGGCTCAATAGAACTTCTAGAACATGATGTTTGTTTTGAGTTGGAAACAAAACTTACTTTCTTACATGATACCTTATAAGTTCCCCCACAACATAAATGTATCTCAGAAAGATGCATAGCTTCAAAACTGTATTGACAATTATATATTGTTATGTCACAACCCTCAAAGAAACATTATAAGGTAAGAGTATTGTTATTAACCTGCAAGAATATGTTGTCTCTCCACCTTTGAATACTTTTCCACACAGTTGAGAGGTACCAATCTGTCTCAGCTTCTCTAGACAGGTATCTGGATCTTCTCCAAATAAATGCCACTCCAAAGGATAAAGAATCATTCTTTGGACCATTTCCTCCTCTTTCTGTGATATGGGATCCATTTCATCAGAATATATGTTTGGAACGACTTTTGCCAAATGCTGAAGAAAGGCAGTATGAAAATCAAGCTTCTCATCCCACCGCTGCAAAAAACCAGAAGAATGTAAGGTTACTTCCTCAGCATCAGTATTTCACATATCAAAAATTACTATATATAAGCAACAGGAAAAAAAAGATGTTTTGGAGTTATATGTTTCTGGAACAAAGTCCAAAAGAATAGCCATTATAACAACAATGGAAAAAAGGCAACTATATCACAAAACTTGCAGAAAAAAATCACATAGTATATTCTGAAGATCTTGAAGGGTAACTACAACATTCTATGGGCTTTGTACCAAAAATAGTAAGTGTAGTAGCACCATTCCTAAATAACTTTGAACGCTAATGCCTGAATTTGGGTTTTTCTTATTTCCATTCCATTCCTGTCTCCTTTTGTTTTGTTTTTTTAAGATAGTAACCTTATAGCAGGGAAGTGTCTTTATTCATTGACTGTGTTTATTTTTATTTATTTATATGTCAAATTTATATCACCGCCCAGCTCCCCCACAAGGAGGGACTCTG